TGGGTTCAAATTTAGGAAGGACATTTAAAAAAAAAAACAGATCTCATCTTCCTAGCACATAAATGACATGGCAACAGCGTTATTTTCAGCAATTGATTATTTTTGATACTGTTCAAGTGTTGAAAAATGACAAATAATTTTGTTATAAACTATGTTATGGCATGCAAATTGCTTTAATGCCAAAATTTCATTCTCAATAAATTCAGTAACTGTAATCATTAATGGATGTCCAACTCATATTCAGCATGAGAATTTTCCAAGTCAAAGGCTTTCTAGGAGAAAAATCTGGTTTGACCTTCTGACTTCCAAGGAAGGGAAACAAGACTCAGAGAGGTCAGGCAATGTCCCCAACAGTGCCTGAGTGGCTGGGGATCCAGCCCCAATTGGCTGAGGCTTCCTTCTCTTTGTCTCTATAGGAGCATCTGTAAGATAATGTCAAAGTGTAACCCAGTCTTACAAAAATGGGTGGTAGAGCTGGATTTGATCCCCAGATTTTGCCAAGTACTTAGATTTTGCCAACCTCTGCTATTTGTAGTTATGTTCATTACAGGATTTTGGCACTGAGAGAAATTATCACTTTCTACCCCAAATCTTATTATAAAACAGTCTGAATTCAACTATCATCATTTAATACATAGGTATAAATACATTTGCTGTATTTTTCTATTTCTATTACATTAGCATGTTATAACTAAAGAACCAATATTGGCACATTATTATTACGTACAGTTCATACTTAGTTCAGATTTCTTAGTTTTTATCTACTGTCCTTCTTTTGTTCCAGTAAGGTACAATAGGATGCCATATTACATTTAGTTTGCCCTATTTTGCATTATTGAGAGGGAGGGAAAAGGAGAGAAACAGACAGATACCGGCATGCACATACACACATACAGAGACAGAGAAAAAGAAACACGGATATCTCTCACTTACTTTGAAGCCAATTAAGGCCAAAATCCTACAAATTACTGTTCTCATGTTCTCTAATATAAAAGAAAAGGGCATATGTTAATGAAGTAATCCAGAGTTTTAATAATGAGAAATACATTGGGATAAGAAAAAGGTCAGGTTAAAAAGAATGTGATATTTGGAAAGATGTGGCAATGTGGTCCCTGATTTTAACATGGAATAATGAAATCTATAAAGCAAGAAATGGGGCAGAGTAGCATGAGAACTTAAAGTAGTAACAGGCAGTTCACATAAAACCATAGTTATATGGTGCAATTTGCCATCATTTACTTTAGGGAAGTTTGCATTTTTAAAACCCATAGAGATTCAGAGATAGTTTCCTTGCCAATATTTATGTAAAACATTTTCCAAACAAGACTGATTTATCTTACTCTGAAATGAATTGTTAGATCACAACAGAGAATGTTAAAGTGTTTGCATCCCTTATAGAAATGCCAAACATTTTACTCTGCCTGATGCTGTACTATAAATAGGGAGATTCATTCAAACGCTAAAAATGTTCAAGTTGCCAAACAGTTCTTTAGCATCTACTTCCCAGTACAAATGACTTGTTCTTCCAAAGTTTGAAACTGAAAGCTAGTTGCAATTTAGAGAAATGCTATGGCTTACTTCAACTGATGAAGTGTGAAAGACACTTCGTTTATGTGTATTTCTTTTTGTTCAGATCATGTTAACTGAATTGCTTCTTTAGGCATTTACTAAGGTTTTGTTCAATAGGAGCTATTCAGATGAGAGTTGGGCCTTTAGCTAAACAACTGGATCAGCCAAGGAACATCAGTATTGTTGGAAAATAATGATGCAGATTGAAATTAGTTCGAATTTTGTTAGTTCTGCTTGGATGTAATACTAGATATAAAATTTATTTATTTATTTTACATCTAGTAAAAAAAAAAGGAATAGTAAAAATCAGAATGAAACCTAACAAACTCACCCAACAAGATGATACAAATAAGACCCTGATATCCATGAGGAAATTAAAATGAAACTCGAAGAAATTTTAATGGATTAAGAAAAATAGGACTTCTTAGGAAGAAATCACCTTTTGTGGTCAAAAGAACAGTAAATGGGGGAATTGTCATTGATTTATGATTGGTATTTGAAAACAAGTATAGATCTCTCTATGTATCTTGTAGAGAGAATATAAATAGTACAGAGATTTGTCTAAGATATTTAAAGCCAACATTGACTTGAAGAAGTGATGACTGGGACAGGAAACTACAGGAGATATGTGACAGAGTGAGGCAGGGCAAGGATAGCTCTGTGACATTTTCTTCCAATCAACTGACTATCCCAGGGGTCTTCGGTCTTCCTTCCACAACTGAACAGACCTCCCACTACCCAACTGTAGTCATGTACTCAAAAATGGCGAGATTCCCCCTTAAATGGAATCCAAATAATTATCAGAACATTTTTTTCTTAGCGTTATTAAATGTGTTTTAATACTACATATATTGATTTGCTAGATTTTTTTAATACTAGTTATACTTTGATGTGCTTAGTTAATATTTTGCAAGCCTCTGCAAAATAATAAAATATCTACTATTTTATAGTAAACTAGAGTAGACAGATGTATGATTTTATAATAGTTTATAATATAATAATCATAATTATAATAATTTTATAGATGTAAAATTTTATAATATATAAGAAGTGACTTACGTAAAATTATTTGATGTTAGGTAAATTACTATTAATTTTATTACCAAGTTAACTGAAATACAAACTTTATTATATTTTGAGGTTTTCCAACTCAAAGCTACTTATTTACTTTAAATTCATTTTTAAATGAAACATATGACATGCAGACAATTTTTGAAATTGTGGCATTTTATTTTTGATTTGAGGAATAATTATGCAAGTTTAAAGCTGTATTTAATATGTCACAATATCAAAATAGATGTTATTTTTTATTAACTATTGTTTTGATACTTTGCATTTTGGACAAAGATAATCACCCCATAATATTTTTTGCATTTTATAATAAAAATGAGACAAGATGAAAAGTTCTAGGCTGCTGTTTTAGTGAAGTATTTCTCTGCAATTGATACAAACTGTGACTATGTTATCAGCTAGCCAGGGAGAGCCTAAGACAGATATGGAGACACATAGGCGTGCGCGCGTGCGCGCACACACACACACACACACACACACACACACTGTCCTCAGACACCTGGGGCTATGAGGCACCAGTACATTGTAAAGTTCCTGTACTCAGGGATTAATGCAGACACAGAACTTTAAGAAACAGAAACACCAGGCTCCATCATGTTTCTGTTTCTGCCCAGTTCCCACTCTCCAGGATTTGCATAGTGCTTTAAACCTCTGCTTTTGCAGTTTTGCCTTTACAGTTCTGGACGCCACGGGTGTGGCTCCCTCTCTCACCATTCTTAGCAATGCACCTCTAATGGCATGCTACATCTTTAAATGTTATTTTTCTCTTAGGGAGCACACACATGCTCCTATGAATCACCAGATAATGGGTATGAGTTAACAGTCATTGACACCAACATGGATGTTAATGTACAAAGAGCAAAGTTAAAGCAGTCTGGTGTGTTCACAGTATTTCTAAACTTGCATGATTTTAATTCTTGTTAGTACAGTATTTAGATAGGCATACCACTCTCTTAAAGACCTTTCTCCTATAATACATGCATAATGCAATGTGAAGAAAGGAATTGCTGAAAGGAAAATTATTTCCCCAAATTATGACTTGCATCTCAGTATTGAGTAGCTATTAAAATATACTTTTAAAAAATCCCTAAGCTGATCTATTCCTTAGCATTTTAAGATTTCCCACTGCTTTTCTATTTTCCCATTCTGTATGCACAGCACAGATTCCTGCCAGGCCTATTACAGTGAGCAAACAATGTCCTCTCTGTCAGAACAGAGAATGAATAGTGTCACAAAATTCTCCTCTAATGTACAGCCTACGTTCCCCTACCCATGCTTTTCAAAAGAGAATAACCAGGATGAGGGCTGAGGAGGAAAGCCGGACTCTCCCCTTGCCATCTGAAATTGCCTTCTAGAACACTAAGGAATAAAGTATGTCAACCATATATTAACTTCTAAACAGAGAGTTGACAAGCACTTTTTCTTTTAAATTGGATCATGTATTTTTGCATTTCTGTGTATATGGGTATGCAAACATCTTTATCAGGAAAGGAGGAGACATTTTATCAGATAAAGTTTTAGGGCTTAGCACAAACAGCTTTTCGCTACAAACTGAGCAACAACAGGGGAACTTCATAGAAACAACACAGCAATTTGTGTTAAAATATTGGCAGCTAATTCATGAATGCTGAAGCTATGAATTCAGCGGCTTTTGTTCAAGCCTTGATTCCTGCTCAGCTCATGATTCGTAAAGAACTTGCAGCGAGTCCTCTGAAACACAATATGATGCTGACAGATTCCTCTTTGGAATCAGTATCTGTTCGTCTGTCTGTCTGTCTCTCTCTCTCACACACTCTCCCTTCCCATAAGAGACATTAAGGGTATGATCTTCTAAAAACAAGAAATTCATGAAGTATTTCTTGTGAAACAATGAAATGGCATTTTCATAGAAAAACATGGGTTTCCTTAAACTCTACCTTATTTGTAAGTTTCAGTTGGTGTAAAATATGATGATTCAGGTTTTTCTGCCTTGTGACATGAATACAGGATTTATTTTATTTAACCCTCAGGGGAATTACTTCATAAAGGTAGAAATGCTATTTTTATTAAAAAAAAATCAAACCCCACTGGCTTTTGTTTTCGTGAATATCTGCAACAGAAAAAAGTCCAGCTTCCCCTTCCTTCACTTTCCCACACATTTGCAGTCCAGCCCAATAAGCTTCCAGATTCTGATGGCATTCTCCTGGTAACACATTTAGCAGAGGCTGCAGGACACCCCAACAACTCTGCTTTCTTCTCTCTCTCTCCTCTCACACCGCCCTAGGTCTGTATTAGACTAAACAATTAAACCTTTGTGCTGTACAACTGCAATCAGAAAATTCTAATGCTGTATCCCTTATTGGTACAACGGTAATATTTACCTTGGAGCAATGTTTGTCCAAAAGAGTATCCCAAATTCTGGCAACACGTCCTTTGGAAGCGTTGTTATGGCAAGACTCTCTCTTCTTTCTTGGACTAAAACCAAAAAGAAAGTTAGAAAAAAAAAAAAAGGCAAATGGACACAGGCTGTGAAAGATCCTTGCCCTGTTCACTCTAAAAATGTTGGCATATTTATGCCAAATATTGAGCTTTATATTCCTTCCTAACCAAAGCAAACACAATGTTTTAACTTCTCAACAGTCACAACTACAAATAGCAGTGAATGAATATAATACTTTCTCTATCACAACGGCCAAGTCAGTGTTTGATCAAATACAAATTAACTTACTTGCTCTTTCCATGTTTTTCCAAGTTTATGACAAATAAATCTGTGTTTCTGTAGTAATATTAACACTGGAATAACTTATCTGAATTTGAGCTAAAAACAAGCAATTTCTTTGAAAAGAGCCATTTATGAAAGCTATCTATGGCAAGATAAGCTGTGATTCAGTTCTGGAAATTTCTTAATCAAGGGAGACTAGCAGGACCTGATGACGACTGGTGGATCTAATCCCAGGTCATTCCTTAATTCTGCCCTAGAAATGGGGAAGACACAAAATGGAGGAGACTGTCTTCTTCTGATTTTTCAGCTGCCAGTCCTGTCTGTGGTTCTGCTCAACTGTTGCCCAACTCTTCCTCCATCCCTGATTCCCTCTCTGGTTCTCTTTCCATAAAGCATCTTGTGCATTGAACGTTTATGTAAAGACACCACCTCAGAAGCCAATGAGAGGGAGGAGGGGATGGGGAGGATGGAATGAATGAAGGAATAAATGTGTTCACACTCTAAGGAGAATATCCTGGTTGAGGACTAAGATCCAGACCCTCTCCATGACATTAGCAGACTGAGGCACAACTCCTGATTTTCAATATAAAACACTGGGTAGAACACAAAGCTTTCAGATTTGCATCTACTGCTATATTATCATCTCAGACTGAATGCCTCTTTCTTCCAGAGTCAGCAGATTATTTATATTATCTGAAGGTACATCTCTTGTTTCCCTGCCAGTTATCAAGAGGGAAACGCTGCCTTGTTTACTGTTGCGTTCAGCTACGTTATTATTTTCTTATTTTTCAAAATAAATCTAAAAAGATCAGAACAACACACACAATCATGAGCTGTCTGCCTCCAACCTGACTTCAGGTCTTTCTACTGTCAATCACGCAAGGTAGGAGGACAGGGCTTCACTGGGAGAGGTGCTTTGCTTGACAGATCAGTGCACTCTGAAGCCATTGTTTTGTGTTTTCATTAGATTTCAAATCAAACCTCCTTCAAACCCCCACCACTCAGGCATATTGAGATGTGGATTCCAACTGTACGCCTCTCCAGTTTTCTATGATAATGGTCAATCCCAGAGAAGTCTCTTGAATTAGTTAGCTGGGTAGTTTAATTACCCAAATTAAATTACTGCAATAAAAATAAATATTTTTCTTAAAATGACAGATTATATTAATATATATTAGAAATAATATATGTTAATTATTTCAGTAGTTTTTCTATTACTCAATGTGAATAAAGAGCCAGATTTGAAAAACACAACTTGACAGTTAATTTAATGATATAAAGGTGGAATGTAATTTGGCATTTTCAAAACAGACATTTCGTGAATTAAAAATGTTCCAAGGAAATGAGGTAATCAGGACAGTTATGGTTCTATCATAAAGACAGACATACAGACCAATGGGACAGAGTTCAGCCTCCACAGAAATAATCCCACATATTCATAGTCCTTTAATTACATGGTGAGTTGATTTTTAAAAATTTTTTTGGATAAAGGTCCTAAGACTGTTCAATGGGGAAAGAACTGTCACTTCAACAAATGCTTCTGGGCAACTAAATAGCTATATGCAAAAGAATAAAGTGGGATCCTTAACTCAGACCATATAAAAAAGTTCACATAAAATGGAGAAAATACCTAAATGTGAGAAGTAAAACTACAAAACTCTTACAAGGAAACATAGAGGTAAATCTTCATGAGTTTAAATTTTGACAGTGGGGCTTTAGATGCACCTCAAGGTACAAGCAATAAAAAAAAGAGATAAATTGGACTTCATCCAAATAAAAATAATTGTGCTTTTAAAAGTACTATCTAGAGAGTGAAAGACACACAAGGAATAAGAGAAAATATGTTCAAATCACCTGATATGGCACTTGGTTAATACATCTAGAATACATAAAAATTCTTATAACTCAATTAAAAAAACCCAAAAGAAAATGGGAAAATGGTAAAATGGAAAATGGGCAGATAGATACTTCTCCAAAAAAGATATATAAATGACCAATAAGCACATGCAAAGAGCTGAGTACGGTAGTGCATGTCTATATCCCAGCAACTTGGGTGGCAGAAGCAGGAGGAACACAAGTCCAAGTGGCAGCAATATAGCAAAAACCCTTGGCAACTTGAAATAAAAGCATAATAAAAAGTAAAAAGGACTGAGGATGTAGCTCTGTGATAGAGCACCCCTGGGTTCAATCCCCAGTGACAAGAAAGAGGGAGGAGCATGCAAAGATGCTCAACATCATCATCAAGTAAATGCAAATTAAAGCCACAGGAGAATGAGAAATTATACTCCATCTATATATGATGCATCAAAATGCATTCTACTGTTATGTATAACTAAATAGAACAGAAGTTTTAAAAGCCATAAGGAGATATCACTTCATATCTACACCCACTGACATAGGCAAAATAAAGATACCTAAGATAATAATGAGGGTCAGGGAGGCTATAGAGAAATCGGACCCTCACAGCCTGTTGCTAAGAGGATAAGATGATGCAGCCACTTTGAAAATTACCTAGCAGTTCTTCATCACTGTTAAACATGGAGTTATCATTTGACTCAACAGTTCCAGTCCTAAGTATACACCAAGAGAAACTGCAAATTTACGAACACAAAATCTTGTACATTGATGTTCATAGCAGCATTATCTAGAACAGCAGAAAATAGAAAACAACCCAATGTGAATGGATAAACAAAATTTGTTATAATCACACAAAAGAATCTCATTCAGCCATTAAGTGGAATGAAGCATGGACACATGGTATAACATGGATGTATTGTGAATACAGAACACACAGCAAGGGGAAAAAACCTGTATATTATATGATCCTCTTTTATAAGAAATGTTCAAAATGGGCAAATACACAGAGATGAAAAGTGGATTAGTGGTTGCTTAAGGCTAGGGGCAACGGGGGGATAGAGAGATGATGACAGCCAAGGGGTGATGAAAATGTGCTAAAATTGATGATTGTACAACTCTATACTAAACCCTATTAAATTGCATACTTTAAATGGATGAATTGTAAAATATGTGAATTGTATCTCAATACAGCTCTTACCAAAAAAAGAAAAAAAAAATACAAGGGACTTTATAAGATCAGTCATTTTCCAGATTAATCTTAGAGAAATGTGGCAAACCCAAGTTTAATTCTAGCTGGACTGATGGAGTTGTGGCACTGAAGAAGATCACCTAGCTCCACTGAAAACTATCATGTTCTGACTGAGACCATCTGAGTATAATTCTGCATGGACCAAATGTTCCTTCAGGTCCCCTGTAACCTGCCTGACTACCTCTACATGTGGATAGTAGTTCACCACTGCAAATGATTACTAATTCAATCAAACAGAAACCCATGCATTCAATATTCATTTTTCTGTTGTATGGAATTTTACAAATCCTGGAACCAGCTATCTACTCAAGTATGACTGATCCCCCCACCTACATATACTCAGTCAGAGGAACATCAAGTTCGACATCTATCCCATTGACAGCTTTCGTGAGGGCTGTTAGCAGGTTTTCATCCTTGACGGTGACACTCATAATATAAGAACAAAACAAGGGCGTTCTGGGAGTTCACGATATGGTTACCCAACTAACCTAAAGGCCTGTTCTGACTAAAGCCACACAGAGGAAATGAAATAGAGTTTAATTTCTGGGCCACTGGGACCATGATGGATGAGATCTGCACCTGACAGATGGCCTAGTCTGAGCTTCGGCTGACATTGCTTCCATTCCCAGCTTAAATTTAACAGTGCTTCTCAGAGACAGGACTCCGGAGGATGGAGGCTGTCCTTAATTATAAAGGGAATCTGGCATAGACTGGCTTATGTTCTGTTTATTTCCATTGTAACATAAAAGATAGTGAGTACATAGATGACATTTGCATGTTGGAAACATTGTTGTGGGTGGTATGAGTGACCTAATCCTACTCCCTTCTTTGTCTATAGGGACTTTGAGTAAGGATGGCTTTATTATAGCAATATCCTTGAGTCTACTTTGATTTTTAAAAATTGATTCACTTAATCAGCAATTAAAGATATCTCCCAGGCACTGTGAATCATTCAGTGCTCAATATCCAGAAACATAGGAACAGAATGAGCTGATATACGGCACATCCAACTATGAAACTTGGGTGTCATTCCTGGGATACCAGCCTCTGAATTTAGATGGCGAAATACCACCAGGAATGCAATGGTATTCATCTCTGTGATCACACTGAGACAATACCATTTCAGGTTGGAAGATTAAAATTCAACAAACAAATTCAGCCAGCATTGAGCAATACTCCACTGTGGGTGAGGCATAAAGTGTGATTAGTGACATGCTCCATGGGACTGTAGGGTCCATTTAACCACCATAAGTATTTCCTGCTTTGGCTAGAAAAAAATTTAGATTTGAGGAGGGAAAGATAAGGCATGCAAGAGGAACAAATAGCGAGGAAAGAGAGAAGGCAGGAAGAGACAAACTGGGAGCGGATATTTTCATTTTCTGGTTTTCCTCTTCTAAATGATCCAGGTCAAAGACAGTTCTCCAGATGAACTAGACTTCAGTGAAGAGTAGTACAGGACCCTGACTTTTGTTTGTTTATATAATATACTTTTTTCAGGAAGCAGAGGAGTTTTTTTAACCATCTAAATAGTATTGTTGACATATATGATATATACTTGACTAATAAGAACACAATTGGTTGTAAGGTATTAATTTTATATCCTGCTACTTTTCTGAATTAATTTATGAGTTCTGGAAGTTTTCTGGT